TCCATTTGAAATTGATTCCAACGTACTTCGATAGTAATTTTTATAGTTGTATAAATAAATCTTTGGTTTGAGATATTTCCCTTGGCTATTTTTGGGTTGATGCATGTAATGGTGTTTAGGCAAGCGCGGATCAACCTGATTCGGATTCTATTTAACTATGTCGAGTTGATAAAAAAATTTCTTAATCGCAAACTAAATCAGCAACGTATATGGAGATTTAGATATGTTGTGACCGGCGCAATCCAGATACGGTACTGGTATGAGCCCCGTTAACGAAATGTCCATCTAACTACATTTCCCGAGACCCTATCGAATTAAAATGCAGAAGGACACAGAGCTCCGGGTGAGGCTGTGTATTTGGATCAACAATGGGGCCATTCACGCAACAAACAACTCGTGTGCTTTTATACGCTTTTGGGTTGGGACATTAGTGACCTTGTGGATTCGTTCAAAAGGCAGCAAATACGGAGAAGCAGGCCAATCAAAGACGAGCCTGGTTGATGGTGTAATAAATTGAGAGTGTAAATTTTATAAAAATAAGAATAAGGACGAAAAGAAACAAAGTAAATAGGGTTCCTTTTAGGCGAAACTGTCATTTCACCCTACCAGTGTCGTTTGTAGTTCTGTTCATCTGATTTCCTCGGAGATTATTCCTTCGGTTTTTCTAAACAATAAAACAATTCGAATTTAACATTGCACGTGCTCTGTCGACTTGATGGTTGAGCCACACAGAAATTCCAAGGATGCAAAGGATGCGGTTCACGGACGCCGTTCGGCGCTAGATGTTGCCCGGTTGGTCTCGTCCTGTTTGTCCAAACGAGTAGTTTAACAGGGTTTTCATGCGAATACGATCGGTGATTACTCGCTTCTATGACCCCTACTAACGTTTTAAATTTCAGCTGTCACAGCAATTAACCTTACTCTGGCATGGAACGGTTTGATTGCTATCTTTCGGTTACCCATTTGATGAACCCACGCACTTCAGTGCATAAAAGAACTTGAAGCTAAGAGCACTGTCGTTTTAAAATTACCGCAAACATGTTAAGAATATATGTAAAAAGATATCACTACTTACGAAACCCAATCATATCACTCATTGGCTTTTACCGTTAATCAGAACGATCGAGTCGTGAAAGAAACTTTTGAAGAAGGAATATATTCTGGTATTTGTTGTGATATGGGTAGCGTTCATGTCGCAAGCTCTATTTGCTCTGTAATGAAAAGTAAATCCAGATATTCGGAGATTCTCCCTACTGGGTTCTTGCGTTGCGATAACCGCCTCCTGCTAAAGGATAACTCGGTCTCCTTGCTAAGTCGAACAGCAGCTTTCCATGCGCAGCGGTCGGTGGAAATGGTGATCCAATCGCGGTTTAATAACCGAACTCTGTGTACCAAGTGTTGATCTGAGTATTCCATGTGTGACTTCACTGCGCTCACCCGCGTTTTGATCTGTCGTCCCGACTGGCAGCTCCAACCTCGACGAGGAACGGGCTGGGCTTGTTTCGACACCTCGTTTGTTAGGCACCGTGCGTTGTGGTTAAATCAATGTATGTGACGGCGTTGAAGTAGTTCCGATAACCTTCCAGTATTCACGCATCGTGATCTGATCTTTTTGGAAAGCAGGTTTCTCCAAGCTATTTCGCTCTTGAAGGTCAGATTTCGCAAGGGACGAGTATCGTTATGGAAAACCCGGAGTAGAGTTCGCAAACTGACCTCATTATGGGCCCATAGTCTCTGTCCGTGTTGCGAAATTTCCGTTCTTGAGCCATCGACCTCATCTTTCGCTTGGTCATTGAAATGATGCTACTTATTGACTCGAATCACCGTTGACACAGTCGTTGAGATTGCGAGTGTGGATAGTGGAATTGCACCTTTGTTTCCGATGTGCTTACTTCGAATCCGATGTTATTTGCGGAGAGTTGAATGCTTTCTAGCATGGGCTCCCTGGCGGTGGGTGCACCCCTAATACAACGATGTTGTCCACAAGTTCAAGGTGCAAAATCCACACTCCAATCAGCTGCGTAGCTGAAAAGCAGTGTACCATATCCTCGCATCAGAGCTATTCTCATTTGAGTGAGATAGTAAAAATCTATGGTCTTATACCATCGAATATCCGTAGTGCTAGGTGATAAAATTTCTTTGTTTTCGTGGCGGTTTTATATATCCGGTAATTTCACTTGGGATCAAATGAACCTCGTCCTCTCCCGTGAATGATTTCTGGCCATGCATATTCAAAGAAAGGCGAACTATGCTTCGTAAATTTCGGCGGTCGATCATCCCGAACATAGGTTATTCAATCAATCAAAGTCACGTGTACACTTTTCGTTCATTCTCCGCAACAAACCGACTGACCTCTTGTTTGACACCATTTTCCGGTTGAATATTCGAAATATTTTCATTTCACTCTGTTATATACTTCAAGTAATTTTTATCAACTAAATGTGCTCTAGGTTGAGACCCGGCGGCACCAGTCCGTCCTATCTGTACTGATCCTCTGTTTTCTTCATTGTTTTCAAGCGATTAATTAACTTCACAATTTATGAACCTTTGTTTATCAGGTAGTTCTTTCCTTTCCTCGATCGAATCTGATAAAAATGTATTCCATTTGATCTGATGTATGGATCAAATAAGTTGTACGTGATAACGCTTCGCGCGTGATTGCCACTACATTCTCTTCTACTCTATATCACTTTTCTCTTCGACTTTTCTTTCAGTCCTTTTTCTTACTCCTTCATCGAAATGAGCAACCGAAACCGGCGCACGGAAGTGCATGGTTAATGGTTGTACAAACTGAACTGAACTCCATGACATACGTGTTTCGGCCTGTTACTCCATCTTCATTAAAACTTAAAAGCTTTAAACTTTTGAGCAAATTTTTATGTAGTATTTATCCTGATTCTGATTAGTCTGTTAATTGCAAGGGCCGTTCTATTGTATATGTACATTGTTTTATCCACTATAGACCAAAACACAAAGTTGTTCATTTTTGCTTTTGGGCTACACAAACGCATTTAACTCTGTAACATAATCTCCTGCCACGTCTTTTCAATTGGATGCATAACAGTTTTACTGACCGACGCCAATTCACTTGTTGTTAATGGTCTTAATAGGTCTTCCACTGTCAATGTAAACCAAGGTGTATTACAGGGTGCAATATCATCCCCTTTTCTGTTCTCCCTTTTCATCCAAAAATTACCAATCACCCCAGCTGTTTTCACATTTAAATACGTCGATGTCATAGTGGTTAATGACTGTATCTAGCAACAACCCTTCAACGAGTCTTAAGTTCCATTTCTGAATGATCCGATAGTGTTAATCTTTCTTTAAACCCGAACCAATGCATTGAAGTTTTGTTTTCCATTAATCGTAGGTCATCAATGTTTCTGGATCATCTGTTCCCAACATCTTGATCAATAACTTGAAAGTTGAAAGGTCGCAACACTCCAAATATCGTGGATGTTTTGTCTGCTGACCTTAACTGGTCTTACCACCTAAAACGAACATTTCCTAAAGTTAGAAAGCGGACCTTTTACGTTTCACACTTTCGAAATCTGAGGGTTCCATTGTATGTCATTTCTAAATTTATTTTCTGGTGCGTTTTGTGCCATTGAACCTACTGTTCTCCCGTTATCTTCCGCGGTTATTGTCTATGGATTTATTATTGATCAGAAATTGAAAAGCTCTCTAGATATGGAGCTTTCCCTTATGTGGCCCTGGTCTACTTCATTGTCAACCAACACCTTAAGGGCTGACGCACCTTTGGTGACGACGTGACGTTTTCCTGTGAGATCAAACGTGGTATATACTCTTCCATAGTGCGACTGGTCCTGCTCTACGGTTGAGACCCTGAATCTGCATGTTAAAGGTCTCCATCGATTAAACATTTTCTGCTATTGGTGTTTACATAGTTTGCCGCAAACGAGGTTTGTCGCGTGGTTAGATAATCTCGAGGTTAACTGTCATGTGTTTCAGAATGTTTCAATGAAAAATTGTTTATCACATCAAATTCGAAAGAGTTGACTTCGCCGGTTAGGGCACATACTGTGTATGCCCAACGGTTGTCTACCACACGGCACCATGTTCACAGCTGCCGCTCCAGAGGAAATCACGTGTAAGAAAGACAGCGATTTGGTAGAGTGGGTGTCTTTCACCTTTCAGGCTGCAGTGACTGAATGATATGGCAACAAACCGAAGGCAATAACTCTCGTGTCGTTTCCCATTAGGTTCAAATGCTGAAAGAGATGTGTGTGCATAGTCGGAATGTACTAACCTAGGGGTTTACTTTATTCTTTCCCTTAAACCAGGTTCCATCCCAATCCACCGTACACCTGACTTAATTTGTTGCGATTTTGGCAACGATTAATGAAGTTTACTCGATTATACGATGGCAATGAAACCCTGTATAGCCTGAAGTAGCGAAATCATTGGATCATGAAAGAGATAACTGTCTTCTACAACTGTTGAAGAGCTTGCTCCGAATTGTAACACGTGTTTAGGGTAGCAGCGATTAAGCGACTTCACTTTCCACACTTGGCTGGCGGTATCACGTGCATCATTTCGTTCGGCTAAAAGTAAAGTAATCGAGTCTAGAACATTGAAGGAATGCTGTTGTCTGTCTGCCAGCGCCCTGGCAAATAACTAACTTTTTGTTTCGTTGAATTATGATTTACTGCGGCAACGATGGCACATGTCTAGGCACCGTTTCACATTTTCTCATAATCCCGGTCCCATTAATGAGGAACTCATAGGTATGAGTGAGCAGATCATACAGTGTGATACTTATCGCTATGTGTTACTCACTGCATACACAGCATATTGACTAGAACAGGCTGTCTAGACTTCTGCTTTTTTCTAAGAATGTGATGAGAAAATTTTTTCGCAGGAACCGTGATGTCAATCTCCCGGTAAATGTTGTTAGTATTTGTGAAAACGCTTTTGTACTTGGGACATTTCTGGACGAATATTCATGCCTAGGTACTTGTGCCAGCCGCCCTCTGTATCCTTTGTATCTAGCATCTGACCACCGACTCTCTCTCGCTTACCCTTCTGCACATTTATTCGAACAGATTGCTGTTGGACAACGGAGCAGATGTATCATTGCTCAGTTGTGAAATGGAACTCCCAGTGGATGTGTCCCAAAGTGAAACAGTCACCGATCTACTCAATGAAACGATGCGAGCTCGCGGTATAGATCCGGCTGTGGCTCGCCAGTCCGAAGAACATTTGTTGTTGCGTGATGTCAAACAAATGTTGGACACGGGAAAATACGAGTGAGTGTGTGTGCGCGCGCGCTTTATTTCATGGTAAACTCTAAATGTGGACTGCCGTCGTAGGTGTCCTAAGCCGAACTAGTTGGTTCAAGTCGGTACTGGGACATTGAACTTATCCCGTTTTTTTACTGGGCATACACAGCGATACGACTCGTATCGTATCTCTATGTCGTGACTTGTCGCTGATAGAGGTGTCTAAATAAACTGTCAGTCACTGTCCTGTCTAGCTAAATACAAAAGTATACGAACATGATTAACTTTCGGTTTCACGCGATACGACCACATTTCCACATCAAACCAGATGATCATCCACACTGTTGTCAAATCTAAGTTCCCGACTTAGCGAGATACTTCATTTAACGGTGGACGATTATTTGCAGTTCATTCCTATCTATTTTTTCTTCTTGAAAACAACCCCCCTCTCTCTGGGCGTGTATGAAACTTGTGAATTGGTGTTTCCTGGGTTCTGGTTAGTGGCAAATGAATTTTCACCATAAGCTTTAACTAGGATCTTGGCTAACATGAATCCCGTTAGGCTCCCTGGATGGGTACCCTAGGTTGTGGTTACCAGCGGTTAGAGATACAGCGATCTAGCTGAGTATAGCAAACAGTGAATTTCTTTGCAATCCCAGTCTATGAATTGTCTATCTTCTCTTTGATTCTGCTCTCAACAATTCTATCTTCCTTCTGCTCTTTCATCCAAATGGGCAACCAGAAGATAACCAAAACTGGCCCGTCTAGATGCATGGTTGATGGTTGTATGAACCAACTGTGTAACAAAATAATCTCCGCTATCAGTGCCGCCAAACTGGTTGACCTGGTTTAGTGCCGTCGGGAATGCAATAAAGCCGGGCTGGTTACCGGGCTTGAGAATATGCATCAAGGGGTCAGTGAACATCTGTTTTGCCAACGAAACCGGTGTTGAGACGGCACAGTAAACCCGTGAGTGATAACAGGAGATCATCGTTCTCCTATCTCATCAATAATAATGGCTGCGGACTAAACTCGTTAGGAATATTCACTCACAAAGCTGCATTTCATGGTGCAGGTTAGTAGTTATTGTAGCGTTTGCTATTTAGTTCCCCATAGGGTCAGCGGCAAACAACAAACAATGTGGAAGTGTCAGCTTCAGACCAAGACCCGCAACCCTAAGCAGAACAACAAAAACAAAGTTTGATCCAATAATTAAATGATGATTTGGATGATGATGATGATGGTGGTGGTGATGTATTATCGTTACTTCCCTATTATCCCATGCTTGCTTTGGACCCTATGGTCGAAGGTTCGAACCCCGCCACTGCCACCAATTTTTTTTCGTAGGTGCGTTCATTGTCATCCGGCTCAGCTTTGAGCCCGATGCATCGGGCCTTCTGCGGTTCACCACTCCATATGTCGGGGTTCAGGTTGCTGTCTACCATTAGTGAACTTATGGTCGTCGTGCTTGTTGGCCGCACTTTTTTGTTGTTCATGGTGTTTAATGAATGGAAGCTGCATGGGTATTTTCAATTTATTGTTGCAACGGTTTGGTGATTTCGATCTTTAAATAAAATATATATTCTTCATGCTGTTTCCAGCATTGCGTCTGTTCTGGTTCAGGTAACTGATTACTGCTTTTTAAAATATATTCGAGGGAGTTCTGTCAAAAACGCGGTATCTAAATGAGACGCATTCAGCGAACATCGCTATTGGCTTACAACAAACAGTTAATTTTACAATGGGCGCTTACCTAATGTGAGGCGTACTTGATTGAGTTAGTTTGAAAAAAGTACACTTGCTCCACGGGTGTAATCAGACTTAATTTTCAACCACATCCACATCTTTCACTTCTCGTAAACCGCAACTGGTAATAAGTGCACTGCAACTGAGGCATCTGCCGTACGGTCAAACTATGATGAATGTATCCGTGACCTGGTCCAAGATGATCTGCTCCATCAGTGTTTGTTTTCCGGCAATACATCACTGCTCATGCATGCACTGTTTTTAGATCCTTAATAGGAGTGAGTGGGTTGCTGGGTCACGGTGTAGATGTGTAATTCACCTTTTAGTGGTACTAAAGAGTCTTTTTGCTGAGGAACACTACTTTCAAGAGATAACCATTTTCTCAACTCTTGTTTTACCATCTTCTATTCGTTTATGGATAAAATGAAACAAATATCGAAATTGGAGCAGCTGTTCTTGCGACCTTTCTGTCGATGACCTAATGTTTTTCCTCGTGGAATTTCACTAGTCTGACGTCGCTTTTCTATGGAGAATTCACTGTCAATATGTCATGGATTCATTTTACATAGTCCCGACACCAGATGTGATTCAGCTACTGTCTGATTCCTTCGGTGACTATCAGGTTGGTAGTCACCATTCACTTATTCGTTCTCTATTTTGAAAAGAATGGGGGAGGGCTTATACGAGGCAACAGTTTGCTTTCTTCAGCCTTACAACTCCGCAGCGCAATTCCGGTCCTCTTCGGGCTTCACATGCCGCTATCCACGTATCGTCACAGACCTGGATAGGGTCATTCAGTGTATATATGTGGTTGTCCTTTCTCCTTGTTGTTGTTGAGTTAATCACCACAAGAAATGCATGATATGTATGAGAACATGGAATTGCACTACGAAGGATAGTATCCTTTTAGCTTTATTCTGCCGCCCCTAATTGTCACGTGAATCGCTAGTGTCAAGCTTCCCTCCAGATTCTTACCATCTCATTGATGTTGGTCTAGTAAGGTGATCAAAAACAGTGGTGCTGTCTTCCGGCCTCTCATTCCTTCTACCTGATTGAGTGCTAGTAGATGGAATTGTTCACGTTCACAAAATGTCAATTTCTGAACTCCCCCTTCACATCCTGCCTGATATTTCTGATGCCACCTTATTCCGGACAGTAGGCTATCTGATTCGGTGGAGGCCGATTATGGTGAGGAACTTTTCTGACTAAGTTTCATTTTCTGTTGTAACGTACACTGCACACTTTTCCTAATGTTTCGATCATGACGATATTTACCGATAGTTNATAGTTGTCGTGATCCTAAGCTTCTGCTCAGTTGAGTGGTTTAATTTTGTCGATCATCATGCATATCTGGAAATCGTAGAGTCAATCAGTCAGTTCCCCGAAATTCATAAATGAATTTCGGAAACGCTCGTCCGACTCTCCATAGTTCAAGAATTTTGTATCGTCCACTGGATCAAGACGTGATATATATATATATATATATATATATATATATATATATATATATATATATANTGCCTTAAGAATGCACGGTGTAGTTAACCAACAACCATTACCAGAATATTATTAATCGGGGAGGCTTGTGCTGTTCTATCGCTGTGGCTCCAAAATTCCTATGCCAGGAGAGCTATTTTGCTTGCTTATTATCACTGAGTCCGTCCGTCCGTCCGCAACTCCAACCAGCTTTCGACCATGACCAGTAGAACTCTTGTTCCTTTGCTGGTGGCCACTATGCTTACAGAGCCTATTGTTTCCGGAGTTCCAGAGGTGATGACGCAGTACACTAGTATTAGTCAGTCACTTTGGTTTTTACAACCATTAACCGTACACCTTCGTACGGTGGTTTTGATTGCTGTCTTCCGACTGCCCATTTAGATAAAAGAACAAAAGGAAGATTTGAACAGAGAAGTCAGAAACATGGGTTTGCACAATGTATCCATGGTCATTTCGCTGCATCTGTATACGTGCATACTGCAGTCCAAATGATTTTTATAGTCAGTGAGATAACAGATTTGGGAGAAAAAACACGTTTTTGACGGTCTATCTCATTCCCCCTTTTTATGTGTTTTTGCGTTGCGTTGTCCGTTGGGATTAGCGATTTTGTGTGCAAACCCATGTTTCTGACTTCTCTGTTCAAATTTGTGACGGGAAAACAGTGTTTTAAGGTTCTCAAAAGGAAGATTGGAGTTTTGAGGGTGGAGTCAAAGAGAAGAGAATTCACAGTCAAAGGTTGCGAAGAAATCGGTAATATGCATAAGCGCCGCTGTTTCCAGCACTCAGCCATATCACTCAGTGTGTCTGAACACCGTTCACCACGATCTCCGGGTCCCCATCAAGGGAGCCTGACGTGACCTAATTAGCCGAGTTTCCTGGTTAAATTTTTTTGTATTCCCATGCCAGGACTTCGTTTGACCGCCCTTGACTTTTTCCATCCACTACCTGATGTGGCAAGCTATTTGGTGACATGCGCAACACATGCCTCAAGCAAAGTAATCTATGGAGATCAACCATTTGTCCAGTGGGCGACCGTGATCACCTAGTATCGAGTAAGGGGGTTCACCTGATGGACCAACGAACGGTTCTGCAGCCACCTGACGGTACTCGTTTAATGGCTTAGGCCATCCGTCCATCTTCTCGCAGTTCGTCCCTTCGAACCACGCAACCATCGCCTTATCTTCCTATCCACTGTTCGACATCCTTCACACTATCACAGTCTCCTCGAATGTCCATTGTATCTTTGTTGTGTATCTAGTTACCGAAGGTGCAGATATTATTAAAGGCCATACGAAGTTTTTCATGGGTGTCAAACCCAGTTTCTTTTCCCTCGAAGCTCCTCGTTCCGCATCGTCCCTCACCCCTTGGTTCCACAGGTGACACTAAGTT